GGGTTCGCTGTTAACACGGAGCCATCGCTTTCTGCCTGATTATCTAAGCGTCTTTCCAGATGTAATGTATGTATGTATACATGTATGTATCGATTGGGTTGGAAGCAGCACGAAGCGTCTTTGTACTTCATTGAGGTAGACCTGTCCTTGACTTGTGGTGACGAGCATGACTTTCGCGAATGGCACCTAACGTAAATTTTCGGCTTCACACAAATTCACACTATTCTATGCAGTTTTAGCTTTGGTAATTTTTGTCTCTCATGAGACGCGGTCAGATGTTCTTGTGCGGTGCTGGATTCGAATCCGTTCAAAGGACAGTTTTGTCCTAGCCACGAATTCTCTTGCAAGGAATTTACCAAATGCACCTTGTTTCCGCGCTACCTGCCAAGAGGGAAGGGTGGGCGAGCATTCGGTCTGTATTCTGGTGTGGTCATTTCAAAATGAGCGATGTGTAAGATGTGAGCGTCCATTGTGGTTGTACTACTTGACAAACCTGATAGCTAAGGCAAACGGCTGGTAGCATGACCTGCAACGAATGGGAAGGTCCTTTTACAAGTGACATAGCATCGGAAGGGCGTTTACTCGATCCAAGCGTAATGCTTGTACTCCCGCCCCCCTTCCCCCACAAGGCGTCGACTTTGATGCAACGCAATAGAAAAGGGAAAAATCATTATAGATATGACTTAACGATTATGTTGCTCGCTTTTGTTCGTTGGGGCTTTTGTGGATCAAATTCGCTTTAGCTTCAAAAGTCGGTGGCACAAGATTAATTTCCGCTTTATGAATATTTTTAATTCTCTTGCGTTGGCGTTGTGAGCCTTAGATTTTTCGACACGCCCTGTTCAAAACGTAGTGCTAGATTATAGGTCGATTGTTATCAACCGAAAACAACCGAAAGGTATTATAAAGCAAAAAATATATTGAGTGGATTTCGAACGATCAGTGGACTGGTTTCGCTAAGGTAGCGGGTGTCTGCAAAGCGACGAATGACGTCGACCTGAAAAGCGCATGAACGTGCGAGGTTTTTCTATTGCCGGTGTGGTAAACAGATATCCTAGACGCGAACACCGTTACTCTCCTACTGTTGTCAGTCATGGCCTTTATCACACAACTGGCATACATCCACGTTACATATTGTAAATACTTCAAAAGCACTGAGGACCCTGAGACATTTCCTTGTACAAAGCGGCCTGCACGTTTGGGTACACGCCAGACATCAGATCCTCTATTCCGCATTCGTTGCTTCCGCGCAGGATTTTGAAAAGTCCTATAACATTAAATTTCACTGCTTATATGACCCGCAAGCCGTTAACTTTCTGAGGCACGTATGTTAATTATTAAGTCTCATCTCCTCTGCTCGAAACTATAACAGTTTTTACAAATTCGGTTTACCTCTGTTCTGTATAAAAGTCCTTAGTATCAACTTTCATTATTCAAACTTATCTATAGATTGTAAGTTTTATCTCCTCCGCCTTCATCCTCTACACATTTTTTACAAATATTACTCATTATATTTTACTGTCGAATTAACATTTCGTTTGAGGAAGCATAGATTTGTTACTGTCTTGTTTCTTTTTGGCTGCAGCAGTGGCAGTATCGCTGGTATTCACCCAATCAGTCCGTCTCTTTTGCTACGCATTTAAGTAATTCTCAGATTATGGATTTTACATAACGGTGCCAATGAGTTTGTTTTCGGTTTATTGACTTAGTGCGTTAAAATACTGAGGAGATTTCTCGCTCTTGAGATTATTTAATCACTTAGGTCTGTTTCAACATGCACGAACTTTTACACAAACTGAGAGTATCCTTTTTATTAGCGACAGCCTCCTAATCTTTAATTACTAGTGAACGTATGGACTTGGCATATTTTAGGATTGTCTTCGTTGGGTATCCCCACATGCACTCTCTTTAAACAGTTGATAAGATTGCATATCTAAGAGTTTCATGATACAGTGCTAATACGCTTGTCCATGTTCAGCGATCCCGTCACCACGCCCTGTAAGCTAATCTTATTGCAGCTGGATCATCATTCTCTGATGCGCTTTCGATTATGATGAGCGTCCGTGCTAGGGTAGCTTCACATGACTTCACTTCTAGTGCGAAATATGCCATTTTTTCATTAATATGAGAGAAGATCTATAAGATTTCGGAATTTTACATTCGTAAAGGCTCGATTCTCTTATTTTCCATGTTTCAGGACAGACGATTGTCATGAAATCAGGATCATACAATAGAAAGAATCCAATATTGAAATGTTGGCTGTCTGCCACCAACATGAAAAATGTTAAAGAGCTACTAAACACGTTTCTTCAAACGATTCTGCAAATGTGGCTTGGACGTCACTGGAAAACCATGCATAAGCACGTGATACTTACCACTGCTTTATAGAACCTATATCCTTATAACTCTGAGAGGCACGCCTGACATGAATGGACAAGACAGTAACGAAGGTGAATGAAAATTCGCGGTCTCCCGTGTATCCCCATTGACTACCAAGGGGCCAAGCACCGCTGCAACTTTGCGAACACCCACTGAGACAAGGGACCTCTTGTCCAGCAGTCGTCATGTTCTGACACGATACTGAGACGCCCTCTTCGTCAGTTAAAAGTATTCACCCGAGCATTACTGTTGTTCTACTTCCGTGATGGAAACGTATACGACTCTTTCTGTCAAAGAACCCCAAGCATGCATCGACCCGCATTTAAAGCTTTTACCGTTGTCGCCCCATGAAACATTCCAGGAGTTTGTGACCAGCCAGTAAGGCTTTCCTGACTCTGTTCCATAGCCGATTACGCGGACCGCGTGATCGCCTTGATTCGAACCCCAGACGTGTGTGTAAACTCCTGAAACGAAAGCAGGTTAGTTATAAATTTGATGGCAGTCAATTTCCCTCTGGCATTTATTTCGATCGTACCTGATTTGTAGTAGAAAAAGTCAGAATACACATGAAAACGGGTGACGAAAGGGCCATTCAACATCAGGTCTTGCATCGCATGCTGAACGTGTTTCAGTTTGTACGCTGTCCCTCCTAAACTTCTTTTTTGAAGAGTAATCTTGCCATGAATTATTGATAGGCGTGCAGCAGCAAACCTGTAGACATCGTCTGGTCCATCGTAAGGGGATACTGAGAAATGCAGTTCTGCGAACACGACGACTGACTGGGGTCATTCCCGATCGTGTAAGGCTGACAGCCACAAGTGCTTCCGTAAGGGCCGCCATTTGGAACGCCTTGCTGCCAGTACTGCAATGCTTTGAACGGAGTTCCGCCTTGACACCTAAAATGAGATCACCCTCTGGAAAATATCAACTCGTAATGCACTCAGTTCAAACTTGGAAGGCGCGGAAGAACTTATACTTGACTGAAAGCAAAAATGCGATGTGTAAAAACTATTAGAGCACAGCCTATTAGCAATGTGTAGAAAAACATTATATTTTCAGATTTAAAAAAATATTTCGTATAATTTTACTTACCTATTTCGACATTTAAGATAAACAGGTAAACCATCAACCTTTGCAGCTACTTTACACAAACTTCTTGGTTTGAAAATGAAGCGTCGTTCTATTTATCTTTTAAACGCTGTCTTCTATGGTCAGAATAGTTTAACCAAGTTGGTATTAGATTCGCTGTCAAACAATCATGAATATCAATCCTGAATGGGCAAAGATAATGAGAAAAGAAAGTGGCTCTACATTGTAGGTCGCAGTGCCACTGCGAACAGGATCGGTTTAAAATTCTGGAGGTGTCGAGTTCGACTCCGAAAGAAAAACATTTTTTAACCGTTAATTTCATCGAGCAATGAATTTACCTCGCATTGCTTTAGTGAAACCAGTCCAGAAACAGGCAGCAAGTCAAATCGTTCTATTCGAGCTGCAGAACATCATGAGGTTGTGGTTTGGTCATACCAGAATGGGCGGAAGTGTCGCCATACAGTCGCGCGCGCCTCTTAGAACCGCAGGTCTCCTTAACCCACCTGATTAAATGTAAACCCTTGGAGCCGCTCAGTTTGTTTCTAGGTTAAAAACTGTCTCTTTGGATAATGGAACCAAAACCTGGCAGATTCCACCTGACAGAGTAAAGACAGAAGATTTCCATAGATTGAAATGTCGGTCTTTAATATTTGCATGATTAAATAAAGTTGTACCTGTATATATAGCTTTGAGGAAGAAGGGCTTCTTGCACCTGTCGCTTGTTCCTATGTTGTGCCCTACCTCTATCATTAGATTAGCTCAATCAGTTACACGGTCAAAAGACCATGGAGCCAAATTCACCTGTAATGATTATCAATTTGAAGGCCCTGTGATTTAGAATATACCACTTTTTATGGAGGTCAATGCAGCACTATACGCTTTATGAAAAATGGTACCGAATTCAGGACTGTAACAGGAATGGATATCTTGGCTCTTACAGTCTTTCTTTCCTTGCCGTTTACAATGGTATACGCCAAGTTTCAACATGCATAAGACTTCTAATGGTAACTGACAAACGAGTGACAGCCATCTTTTCTCTCATTTGATCTTTAAGATTTCGCGTTGGTCCCACCCTAGAAACAAACCTTCAGTTCCCTACCAGACACTGCACCATTATACTTATGAATAAGTACTATTACCGTGCCATATATGGATTTTTCATCTTGATTAGAAACGCGTTTATTCTTTATAGTTAGAGTATCAACAACCTTTCCGACATTTCGGATCACGTTCTATCTATTCTCATCAATCATTCTACACGCTCAAATTTTTTTTCACGTTTCCACCATGAACCTTACAATCTGAGATTGAGCATTTCAAGATCGATAGATAGGCGTGTAGGTCTGAGATTCTCAACCAATTTATATCGTCAACTGATCAGAAAGATCCGTCTAAGTCTACCCTATTAATTTTTGTAATATTTCATTCCATATTAACGATAATTCTTCTATGATGTCTCTGCTCTAAAATCTCCGTGCTTTGAAAAGTTTATTCGTATAACTGTACGTTCTTAATCTGCGTGTATGAGATGTTGCTGTAGATGGATTTAGTGCGATCGGAAACGTCGGGCTAATTGTTCATACTTCGACTATGCGGAGTTAACTCGTTTCTGATCATAATGATGAAAAATTACGTTCCTACGTGAAGCAGTCTACTGATAATTTGACACTCTCTATTGAAATAGAGATGAAAAGATCTAAAACCCAGATCTCTTAAATCTTCCGCTTGTATTTATCATGAATGGTCCGTTGTACGCGTATTCTGTGTAGTATGTCTTGTCGTTTTCTTATGCTTCACCTTCTGGAACTTGCTGAAAGGTCAGTAATTCTTACCCACTGTAGGAGTAAGCTTGATTTGACTTGATAAGTGTTGTTCACACTCTTCCTGACTCCAGTCACCAATCGTGAGGAAATTGATAGTAATTAGAGTTCGGTTCCGTGGACTTAATCGACTTTGATGTAACAGCGGAGCATCGAGAACTCTTGCTGCCATGGTTCCACCAGTATCGTGCTTAGAATCAAGATAGCTGCTCGAAAGTTGTACTTTGTTATGAACATACGGATCCGGTTTGAGCTTATCCGGCGCTGGTTTTTGATCTCTGCAAGTACAAGAACCGGAAAGTAAAGTCGTTGTGATCTTGCTGAGGTTGGGCCTATGCGTGATTAGGATGCTCTTAAATTATTTCTTGCTCCTGTTTAGCATAAGTTTTCATGTCAGGCAGTATTTTAGGACATGTCGCAGTTTAGTTCAAGGGGTAAATTTAAACTATTTTAATGTATGTTGACAGCGTGTTGCTGATTGGTAGTCAGTGAAGTGGGTGAAGGTGAACTGTAGGGATCGCATATCAGTCAGTCAGTAAAATTATTAACATCGTCTATCTTATTACGACTACACCAGAACGTCATGCTGCCCCGTTTTAGGAAGTCAGGGGAGATCTGCTGCCCTCTTTCTGGCTTGCTACACTGAGAAACAGTGTTACAAGTTCCTTGTTCAAGGGAATTCGTAATCACTAAGAGAAACCTTACGCGCTTGGGAGCTTAAATCAATCATCTCTAAAGTACTAAGCAAAATGGTGTCACTGCCCCTTTGTCCCCTTCTCTTATCCATTGATTATACTGATAGATAATTTAACGATTAGTAGTTGATTTAATTTTTACGCGTTTCCGCAGTCCGTACAACAGGTGGTCACATATTGATCAGAGACGTACGGTTGATAGACACCATTGGTGATTATACACAGACGATCAGACATTATGGACGCGGTCGACACGGCCTAAAGTAAAATGTTTAGCCGGCCTTGGTCAACGTCGCCGGTCATCGTTTCAGTACCCAGCATGAACCGCACTGACCTTGGTCTCGGATGAACTGAATCGAGCCGCACTGGAACCAGTTTTGGCGGGCGTCGAACTGTGGTGGGACCTGCAGGTAGGGGTTGTAGTTGCCATCCGGCAAGTCGTACGCACCGTCATCAGTCGAACCAAGCAAACTGACCAGATCGGGGTTCGACATACCGCCCAGCCGGTCGTTTAACCCCATCTATAAGCACCGTCTGTTCCTCGGAAAACGAGTCGTCTGATTGGTTGATGGCCATACCTGAAACGGGAAGAAGGGGTACTGCTGTTGCATGAGGTCGTTCATCATCTGCTGAAACCCGTCCTCATAGTCGGCACACCTAGCGAAGGCGAAGATGG